ATTTCAGCATCTCTTCTCAACAGAAAATATGCTGATATGAAATCAGTACATGGCACGTTGAATTTTAAAGTGCCAGATGAAGTAGAATGATTTTCTTCTTTACAGCTCTAAACGAGTTCAAATCACAAAGGCCATGAAGATGATTAATGATCACCAGTCTGATTTTCTAGTAAAGAAGATGGCACTGGTGAATGAAATTAAATTCATGTTTATGAAGTGAGTATGCTTGTACTTTTTTAGTGAAGTCTTATTATGATATGAAAATTCTGTGTCAAGGAACAAAATTTTAATTTCAGGTTGGCTGACGCAATCATTACCAGACGAAAGCAGCTGATTCTCCAACTCAGTGAAGTCTGTTCTGCCCAACAGAGGACACTGAGTGTGAAGAAATTTGATTTGGCACAGCTATCCAGTCTCAGTGATGATTATATTGATTTTGTTATCAAAGTGAACAAGGGCAGTGACTTGGATGTAGTCAACAGGAAAGGGTACATTGTAATTTGCTATATGTACAGATATATTTGTTAAGTTAAAGGAATACAACCTGTCATGGTGAGTGTGGTTGTGAGTAACCAGAAATATGGAATTTATATAGTAATTTGTTATAAATATGAAGATTACTATCTTCTGGGGTGTTGTACCATGTAGTCTGGTAGATACTGACATGTTTCAGAGGACCATCATCGTGCTAATGTCTCAGAAGACAACCATCTTCACACAAGTTGCCATGAGAATGTGAAATTTGATCTGTTTCATGGGTGTCTAAATTTTGTGTGATTGTTATACTGTAAAATCATAAAATCTGAACAAGTGGACCTTCAACTTTGTATTCAACATAATATTTCTTGCAACCTGAACTATTTGTTGAAGAAATTTTCAGGTCAATAATAATAATTTTATAGAGTAAATTACAGATTAGTTATAATTGTTTTGAACCTACAAAGCCCAATTCTTCAAAAAGTAATAAATTTTGCCAGTTATAAGAGCTTTTAGTAATTATGTGTTTATTATTTTTATGTAGGACTGTTACACACCACCTTCAGAGGATCAAGAGTAGAAGAGCTGATATTCCAAATCCTGAAATACCAGTCAGAATTTCAGTAGCTATGGACAAATTGAACGATCTCATTAAAGGTAAAGTAAAGATGAGGGAATATATGTTGTTAAAAGAACAAGTAAAATAGTTTGAAGGGAAGGAGCCTGAAATTACAGTTATTGATGACAAGAATGTAGAAAATAGATTGCTTCGCTTTGTTACGAAAACAGATACTGCTTCTTTCTCTGTACTCGTGGCTAACTGGCCCACCATTGTTTTGTTCCTTGAAGTTGTACTTATGAAGTGTTATTGTATTACATATTTGTGTATTCTTGTATTGTTCTACTTTTCTAGTAATATTTGGAAATTAGGGTCAAGCATTTCAGCATCTCTCAAAGAGGGAAATATAATTAGTGAAGAAGAGAAAATATTATAAAGATGGGCAGAATATTTTGAGGAACTGTTAAATACGATAGAAGTTTCCCCAAGATATATGACGGCACAGCCCTTAGTAAATCCCCCCTTCAGTTGAAGAAGGAAGGATTGAATATGGGGTTAAGCATAAATGAAAATAAATCTAAATATATGAAAATGGCACCTACTCAAATTAACAGACCGCTACAGAATCTATCAATATAAGATCATAATTTTGAGGCCGTTAGAGAATTTACTTATCTAGGAGTTACTATAAACAACGGAAATAAAATAGATAATGAAATAGCAAGAAGACTAATGGCTGGAGATTGTACCTACTTCTCTCACATCCAACTGTTTAAATCAAACATATTATCCAAAACAACTACAGTAAAACTATATAAAACACTTGTACGGCCAGTAGTTACCTATGGGTCAGAAACTTGGACTGTAAGAGTAGCAGATGAAAACTCCTTGTGTGTGTTTGAAAGGAAGATCATCAGGAGGATTTATGGTCCTATACACTCTCAAGGGAACTGGAGAATAAGAACTAACAGGGAAATCAACTTAATTATAGGACATGAAGACATTGTGAATTTTATCAAGTCAATGAGAATAAGATGGTTGGGGCATGTTCAGCGAATGAGTAATGACAGGATGCCAAAGATGATTTTAAATGCCAAAATGGAAGGTGACAGAAAAAGAGGACACCCAAGGAAAAGATGGATAAATGATGTAGAACAAGATCTCAGGAAGTTAGGGACACATAATTGGAAGTCAATGTTGGGGATCGTCAGCAATGGAGGGCTGTTGTGAGGGAAGCTAAGGTCCATCCAGGACTGTAGAGCTGGAGATCATCATCATCATTTCAGCATCTCTTCTCAACAGAAAATATGCTGATATGAAATCAGTACATGGCACGTTGAATCTTAAAGTGCCAGTCTCCCACATCAAAGAATTTTCAACATCCCTGGTTAAAGCCTTAAAACATAACTGCTACCCGACATAATTCCACATAGTCCACTTCTTACACTTTCAACAATTTCTATGTACAGATAATGTTACACCACAATGAAGGGGCCAGTCAAAGGAAGATCACTACACCAACACATCATGAGACTTCTGTAGGATAAGAATATTTGTTATGTGAGTGTATGCAGTAATATAAAGGAATTCCTATTTAATTTATTATTTGCATAGATTCCCAAGGTTCTATCCACCTACTGTTCAGAAACACCAGCTATAGTTAACTACAGTGTCATTTATGTTTATTGCCCACACATGCAGTTTTGTTTATCACTGGGAGTGACATCTTCAGTATGTTGCAACGTTCCCATTCCACTACCACTGGGAGCATACAGTTCATGTCATTCAGACATGATTCGACGATATTTCTTCTGGGGAGGTAAGTCAGTCTCATCATCCGAAGGCAATGTAGAGTCATATGCATATGTTGGCAGCCACTTCTCCAACAGATGATCAAAGAATTCTTCAAGTGTTCTCGCATCTTGATATATCTGACTATCTTTCTGTAAGTGAAAGAGAGTTATTTACAATAAGTTCATAAGTACACCCTGTACATCAAGCAATGATGACTTCCAACTTTAATGGTGATATAATTCAAATCTCTGTGGTTACATGGCACATCATATCTTTTGTACAATACTAGTAGGATCAGCATACAACCACCCTTTTATTTACAAATAGCATTCAACTGGGATCTAAACAAATGTCTGCAAGTTACCTCTAAAGTAACTATGAATAATACATTTCCCTGTGTGAAAATAACTGCCAAGAACTACACAGTGAAAGAAAACTATGGAGCATAGCAACTGGTAGCTAGACACAGATGACACAGCTTTATGGTAATTAATACAAACCATAAGGCTGAGAATCCTTAACAGAGTTACTATAGCAGAAGTTATAATTACTTAAGTATAACACACACAGTCCCCACTTAATGGTACCTGCACCTTGTCGTGGTGGTGGGGCTTGAGTACCTCAGTGATCCCAAGAGCTATGCTGGCGGTAGCATAGCCTCCCTAGCCAGATTGGTCGAGGGGGAGAGGTCAGATTAAGATAGGTATCCTGATCCTCCAGGTTGGGGGTTGGTCGCAAGGCTAACAACCTTACACCGTAAAAAGGAAGATGTTTCGAAACCTCGATCAAAGCCTCGGACTTTTGTATAGAATTTGTGTTCTACAGATGTTCTGAATTGTCTGCTGAAGAACAGTTCTCTGACATAAAGATGTGTTCCTAGTTGTCATACGTTAGTATAAAACAAAATTTTCTACTATCGCTCACTGGGTGACATGATACGAGATGGTGGTGATGATGTTAAAAATATGATATGCTGACATGAGTGTCTTGCACTGGAACTTACCAGATTAAAAACATATGCATTCTTGAAAATGAGACGGATATCACTAACAAGTTCCTGCAAACTGATGTAATCGTTAACATCCAATTTCCTTCGGACCATGTCCAATGACATTGGTTTCTTTATCTTCTCATGGTATTCTGTCACCTGAAAGTTTTGCAAAATGCTGTTTCAGTTACTACCAAACATGCTGCTTTCTTTTATTTTCTGTGGTGCATTAATGAACCTATACACAAAACAATATCAAAAAAGTCCAGGAACAACAAAGAAATTGCTTTGACAATTCAGATATACACATGGTGTGATAAAAATATTTCTAGACTGGTTGCAAGGAGACACTACCATAGCACAGAAGTTTTCCGCTAGTGGTGGTAAAATACTTTTTAAAAGTATTGATATACTTTGTCAAGACTTCTCATAGCAAATTGGATACATAAGAAGGGGGAAGAGAGACAAAGCACCAGAGATCTTATGTAGACAACTTTTGAGTGGCAAATTCTTACTGTACACAAATGACAACACTCAAAATAAATCTAACTGCTACATTTTAACAGAAATACATACAGACAGAACAAATGTACAGGCACTTTTATAATATTTAACTGATGACAATGACAAAATTCTCTAATTAGAATATCCAATCATGCCTGGAGAATGAGGGTTAAGAAAAAACATGCATTTTGTCTCAACACTAAACATAAGTTTTAATAAAACAAAGTGCTATTTGAATGCCTTGTTACAGTAGAATAACTAATTACCTACACGCTCATAAATGCATCCCAGAAATGGAAGTTACAAACTGAAAACTAAAGACATGGGCATAATATGAGATCAACATCAGCAATGACGGCAGAACATAATTATAAGTAACACATGATTTGAAAATTAAGAAGTTAATTAGTTAATCATACAATTCAGACACTACCTCGGGTCCAACGGTCTCCCTGAAGTGCAGACTTGGTTCATATTGGCAGTATAATTCTAGGACAATTCTCTCCGCCAGCTTCTGGTCACGGCTGCTCAAACCTCGACCCCTCCGTTCTGCCGCTGGGCTGGGAGGAGCATCAATTATTTCCTTAAGGTTGGTACACAGCAGACACTGCCACGTTTCACTTTCCCTGCCAATCAGATGTCATGCACACTGAAGGATGCTGCCCAAAAATTCAACAGATATTAAAATAAAAATGAAAGGTCTCAATAAAAAAATTGGGAGAAACCAAAATAAAATAAAAGACATGCATGTATAGTAACCTTAGTACGGTTCCTTGGCTTATATCATTAATGTATGTGTCACTGAGAAGATAAGCAACCCTTTTCAGAGTTGGGACATAACCAGTTCACACAAAACAGAACATGTTGAAGAATGCCATATTAACCTCATGCACACAGAACTACCAGTCTGAATGCAAAAGGATATCTGTTCCGTAAAACATACTACAATGAACTTCACATGTAGCAAGACAACATTTGCCTGAATAATCACTACCAATAATTACAGTGCACCAGACATTTCCCATGTGTCATTATAACAAGAATGGTGAAAACATGTACTGCTAACAACTTAATTGATGCTTATTTATTTATTAATGCTATGTTGCACCAAGTAAGAAGGGATTATGCTCATGACTGGAATTAGACAGTAAAGTCTACTAAAAGGTACCAACATGAAATTTACTCCATGGTGAGACTGAGTAAAATCGTGAAGAATCTGTCACAATACCCATTAACTCAGCTGTGCCTCAGACTGGGTATGTCCAGAGTATAAATACAGACAAAGCTTAAACATTGTACAAATATTTTCTACTGTAATGGCACACACATATTTTCAAAATTAATTCTTTATAATTTCTGTACTTGCTTTGATGCTCATTATTAGAGAAACAGACAAATTGCTTCAGAGGTAAAAAATAGCACCAATATGACACTGTATAAGACATGAATGCTTTTTCATAATGTTTTGTAAGTATGCACTTCATGCAAAGAACATGTAAAATACTGTAAAAATGATGCCTCCTTATTTCAGCAAATAATCATATCATATTTCAGTTTCCAGTGGAATACTCAATATGCAACATGCATTTTACCTGCGTAGTTCATACTTTAAATACTTCCAAATAGTGGCACTCTGTATTAGTTATTATGCAGAGAAAAGATTTAGCCAGCATTCTACTGCTTTAACTTCATCTTCCTAAAACTGCAGTACAGATCAGTCTGAACAGTAATATTATTCACGCAAATGCAAACTACTATACTCTAACAAAACAATGACTTAAACAAAACAGCATTCATGCTAGCCTCTTCAAGAATTAAAAGCTTAAATTATAATTTCACAGTGATTTGCTTACTTTGTAAGGCATGCACATAATGAAACCAATACAAGCTCCGAGTAAAAATTCAGTTATGTAAACAGTAACACAGGTACACAGAAACTGAGTTCAGTATTCAATTTCTTGCAGAATGTATCAATATTGTGCTTCTGAACATCTGTAGTTGCAGCAAAAAAAATAAATCCATACTTACTTTACGGTAATCATAAATAGTTTAACTGAGGATGGCATAATAAAAAGAGTTACTTTCAGTTAGGACATGATCAAAAAAACACATTTTTGTATGCACTGACAGTTACTGTAGAAAATCTATATGAGTAGTCTACACAATTAACATTTTCTAAAATCAAAACGCTCAACACACATACACAGGTACTCTGCTAAAACACAGTCCGCTGAGTTTACGTGACCCTCCCAAATAAACGGCAATCTTCCAAAAACTGTCACACAGACAGCCAAATGTGTGGCTTCAAGACAGGGCCCCATTATAAAGATTTTGGTGCTATCAGGGATCACCAATACATTGTCATTAACAAGATTACATATATTTATTAATATGTACAGTATCATCTCTCCATAACTGGGAACGGTAAAAAGCTGAAAGACTTACTCTGGAATGGCTTTGAGTTTTGGAATGTGGCAGTATGTATGAAACACTTTTGGACACTTGTCACAGCATACCAACTCTCCCCCATCCATGCAAACTGCACACCAGTCCTCATTGGGATCATCTTTCTGTGTCTCCCCTCCATTCTTGGCGTGTTCTGAAGAACAAATAATACTAGATGAGATTTGAATATCTAACAACAATAAAAATGTCACTTGGGGTCTTCTAGATTGTGATGCTATGTACACTCCAGGAAACCCGGAGGATGGCAAATATATGTTCCACCAAAAAGTTGGTAACTATTTGAAAGAGCACATGGAATTACAACACAGTGGACCACACGTGATGAATTATGATGCCAAATGCTGACACAGAAGAAATCATCAGTTCCAGGTGCTTTCTTCTGTGACTGTTCAAAAGCAACATTTTGAGGTAACCCCATACATTCAATGCTCCCCATTAATTATAATGCCAAACGCTGGCACAGAAAAAATCATCAGTTCCAGGTGCTTTCTTTTGTGACTGTTCGAAAGCAACACTTTGAGGTAACCCCATACTAATGCATTACACACATTCAATGCTCACCATCTATAAGCATTGAACCAGGATGTGGCAGAGACAAGTGGGAAGGACCAGGGCTCTCATCAAGCCCTGTTGAACTGTCCACTAAAGGTGAATCACCAGCCCCCAAGGTTTTCTGGCCTTCTGGAACCACTTCAATTCCATTACGATCCAACTTCGCTATGGTTGCCATCAGATCATTAACAGATTCCTAGGAATAACAAGTAACATTGTAACATCTGGAAAATGTAGTTTCCATTAATAAATGTTTTGTACATTCATGAAAAATTATAAAGTTTTAACTCTACCTGACAAAATTTATCAAGACTCTTTTCTGGGTCCTCAACTCTCGCTTGGCTTGGACTTGGAGTTTTGGGTACAGATGAGGTCACATGTCCACCAGGCATTTTAATTAAAGCATCTCCAGCCATGCTGGTTGCAGGAGCAGGAGCTGGTGCTGCCCTCTGCACTGACTGTTGCTGTTGCTGTGGTACTTGTTTAAGAGTTATCTTAAAAGACTCATCCAAAGGAAGTGCTTGGGGTGGGGGACGGGATGAACCATGATGTTGTGAGGAAGTGTTAAGTAGTATGCCTGTTCCATTTACCATACCACCTGACTGCTGAGGGATGTGCCACTGCACGCCTCCTCCTTGATGCATAGGTGGTGGCAGTTGCTGAGGTAGCTGGTTTGAACTGTGAGGGCTTTGTACCCTGGCATGAAGGACAGGCCTCATGCCAGGGTTGCTGAACATTACAGCATGAGGTGATATTCTTGCCTGTTGCTGCTGCTGGAGTTGGAATAACTGTTGCTGATGTGAATTTACTGAATGTTGATTTGGGTGCTGAATGGTGTGCTGGCTAGGATGAGGGTTTGAATAGCGGGACATGGAGGATGGACCTAGGCCAATGGGATACTGCTGCACTCCTGAGGGTGACCGGTATGCCACAACATTGTTCATTTGCTGGGGCTGGCCAGAAAGACTAACACGGATGACTTGACCACTTGCAGTGTTGTACATGCCGTGAGGGTTGTTGTGGTGAGAAAGAAGTCCACGAAGGTTTGTATTCATTCCATCGGCTCCAATGGTTTGTGGATGAGTGGAAGAAGTCACCTGTTGATGATGCAGCATGCCTAATTGTTGAATCTGCATTATAAAAGAGCAGGAAGATGGAGGCACACACACATACGTGCATGCACACATATACAAGAGCTGAAGTGTGAAATGAGAATTGCTTAAATTTGTTGAAGTTTCCACAGCAGAGAATTACAGCTGAAATTTAGAATTATGGAGCTGTATTATTGTACAAAAAAGCTTTCTGGTGAAGATATGGAATGAGTTCATGTACAGATATAAAACTAACATAATCTGATGTTTTCTATTGGACAAAATTATCTAGTCTACGACGCACTTCTTCTACAATCGATTCACAGCTCAGCTCTTTCCGCAATAACGAAAGCAGATTGTTGACGGCAGTAATGTAACACAACAATGCCGAGTAAACAGATGACATTTCTTACGTAACATATCGAAGCACGCAAGCTAACCATTGTTGTCAGTCTATATTTACACATTGATAATAAGGATCTTACAAGTTTTCCTTTCACATTTTTGCCGAATGACCCTTCCGTATAGACGTATTTATGTTAAAATAATACTAGTAAAAAACACACCATTACAGGGGCCAGAACAGCTAAAAAAATTCATAAATGATCACAAGATTTTAAGAATAAAATTCTTAAGTTCCACTCTACCATATGCAACATAAAAAGAAACAAGCTAGTCCTATCAGCTACTATTAAACAGCAGGTGAGAAAGAAAGGGAAAATTAATCTGTAACAGAAGACTACAAACAGTCATACCACAGCAAAGATGCAAAGCATATTCACAGACACACACACATACAGCAAAAAGAAAAATACAAGAAATTTTACCAAATCAAATACAAAACAATTTTTTAAATGTGCTTCATTTTAAGCACCTTTCCAAGTTTGAACTGCACATGAGGCAACATTTGTACAATAATGATTTAATTATAATATTTCCATAATGCATAAATTTCATTCTTATGAAATACCAATTGTAGAAATACCTCTACTGTTAACAGCAGCATAATGTGTGAAAAATTAATAATATCTTATTTTATACAGTGAAACCTCTATCCATCGTTCCCAGAACTATCGTTTTCCCGGATGCATCGTCCGTTTTGTTCGGTCCCGAATACATCCCATATAAAATAATGTTACATTTTCCCGCTTCTATCGTTCCTCGAACTATCGTTTTATCGCATCGATCGTTCAAAAATCTTAGTCCCGGCCCACAATTTTCCCGCAATGATCGTTTCTGAGAATTTAAAATGCTGGGTGTTGAGATAAATTAATACCGAAAGACGCACAATGTTTTTGGAATACACAGTAGCGGTAACCTGTTATGTCGCCCAACCAGCACATTCTTTTGGAATGAGGGTCAGCGGTGCAGGGGTGATAGTTGGAGTGAATGGCGATGCTCATTGTCAGAAATTTTACGATTTTAATTAGGGTGCACTCATATTTCGTTCCAGCGATGCCAAATGGCATGTGCACTGTGAATTTCTTCACAAATGCTTTTATTACAAGTACAAAGGAAAGGCTGGCGGCACTTTTCATTCTTCTGGTTCATCTCGTTTCCAGTGGTTCAGTG